CGGGAGGGCGTGTGGGGAGCCGTTTATTGCTTGGAGGGAGACCCCCCCTCCCTACAGGAAGCCACGACCACATGTCACGGGAGGGAAAATGGCCGCGGATCCTGTTCGTCACCCGATCCGGCGCTCCCCAAAGGAGGGCAAATTTTGCGAACGGAGCTGTTCGTGACCCGAATTGGTCGTGAACAGAAGCGTTCATGAACTGAGGTACCACTGTATACATTACAGTCAGCACAATTAATAGTTAATGGTGACCCCCTAATTTTCTGTCAGTGTTGTATCACTATTTTTGATTGTGGGCATATCTGCACTCACCATTTAACCTGCTCCTGTCCTGTGCTCATGCCAGATTGAGCCTAAGCCAGCTTTTAAAAATCCTGTCCAACTGACACGCATTGGCAACAGTTTGAAAGATATCATATCCTGTGACTGAACAACTCCCCTGCTGTTGTGCCCTCCCTTTTTCTCATTTACTTCTTCATATGGGACTCTAGGAAGCTGTCTAAATGGAGGTTCTTCTCATTAGATGGAAGTATGCTTTGGATGCTTATTTGTTCAAGAACTTTTTTATGGTATCAGAGATGTAGTTACAGCTGCAGCAGCAAACTTCATGGAGCTTTCTGGTGGCAAAGTCAAGGCAGAGTTGTTTATTGGAAAACTGTGCACTTGAAGACTTTCCTCACAGAGAGCGCAGCTTGCTATACCTCCACCATACCCATAAAATGGTATGATGTCAACAGTGGAATCAAACGTGACATTTTTGTAATGCCTTTGACAGGGTTTAGAAACCATTGCAGGTTAACTCTTTTTTTTCTCAAAGCTTCTCATTGCAACAGTTTTCTTTACTGTTGTATCATAACTATTAGAGCATTGCTGTGGCATATTACCTTGGAATAAGATGTAGCCTTCCTGCCACTCCTGACACATGTCCTGCCTTACAAATGATATACGGTACATTACCTCATTGTAATGGAATGTAGGAATGACTTTGGAAGATGTGGGGGGGGGGGGGGGTGCTACCTAGGGAATGATCAGATAAAAGGGGAGGGAGCCCATAACTAACGGGCAGAGAAAGAAACTTAGAAAGGACCCACCCTAACTGATCAGATGGTAAACAAGGACAGCGGGAGATTTATGCTTTCAAACTTGCAAGATTCTGTTAATGTAGGCTAACAATAAAGTAGAAGTAGCTTATCCAGTCATGTTTCCTGTCTGGTTTACCCAGGAGGGCTGACACTCACTGACGATGTGGTTGATGGGCTGGCAGGGGCTGCCAGCTGATAATGTGGTTGATGCTCAGGGGCTGCCAGTTTCCACTGGCTATTTTTGACTGCTGTGGGCATGCCCCCGCCTTTCCAGTCCTTTGGCACTGTTTCTAAGCCCATGCTGCTTTGGCAGTGGGAAAGTCCAGTTTTTTTAAACTGCCTTTTTGCCCTGTACCAAAGAGTCCTTTCATCCCCACTTCTCCAGCCATTCCTGATAGCAGATCCCCAGGCTGTGAGGACTTGGAGGGAAAGCAAGAGAAGTGGGGGAAGAGCTTACTCAAGATTCTGTTAATGTAACCTTACAATAAAAATAGAGTAGTACTCATGGCAGTGCTTCTTGCCTGGACTACATCAAAAGGCTAGCATCAATCTTGCAAGACTCTAGTTTCTCCCCTTCTCTCCTTTTACTCTCTGGAAAACTAGGGAAGGTCCCTTCTAAAATGCTTCCCACGCCTTCTCTCCTTCTGTGGCCTGAGAAATCTTTTACATGCCGGTTGTCCAGTTTGTGGCTCTTCCTCTTGTCTCCCAAGGTCATTCCTACATACTATTATATTAGCAACCTCATCCAGTACTGGCTGCTGATCCCATGACTGACAGTGCTGTGCAGAGTGGCAAGGAAAAGGGAGAACTGACTTCATCATCATGTCTCCAAACACAGGGCTGAACTGTGCAGTCAGACACCACTGGTAGGGAAAGAGTCAGCTCCCTGAAGCCAACACCCATCTGACAAACTAAGAAGCAGCTAAAAACATGAGTAGTTCTAAAAATGCTGACAGCAGAGAGGGCAACTGTGATGTACAGCAGGAATGCTCTTTGCCTCTTCACCTGTCCTGCTATTGGGGACTACCAGCGTTACTACCCTATAGAACAGGCACTGCAACTGACCCACTGAGTGAGTTGCAGGATAGTTGCAATCCCTGATCTCTTTACATGTCTGGTCAGCCTGGTTGTTTAGCTGACTGGGAAGCTGGCATTAAGAGCAAGTTTTCCAAATTATAGACTTTTGCCCAGTGGAGTACAAGGTATCAGAGACAGTCGATTTTTTATAGGGCTTGAACCCTGCAAAGTTTTAGCTAGATAGCTTCATGAGTTTCACTGCAATAAATGTTTGGAACATTCTTCTTGTGCCTTTTTAAAGGCAGAGATAATGCAGATGAGAAAAGGATAGCACAAAAACTACTACGCATACTGTCTCCAAACTGTCCAGCAAATAACTTGTACAAAAGTTTGACTGAGTGAGCCAGAGCAGAAAATACTGATAAAAATAAAAATGATCAAAAAACATGTAGAAGAAAGTTCTTACTAAAGATCAAAGAGCTCATTGTGTCAGATCACTGGTTTTTCTCAATTGGCAGACTTGATTGCATCTTCTGGGAATGATGTATTACATGCTGCTGGTGCAAATCCTTTTTAAAGAAGTCTGGTAAGTGTGTGCATCATGATAAAAAGAAATGCTATGTATTACATGCAGCATCCTAACAGCAAGCCCATCATCTCACACTTAACTGGGTCATTGAAGACTCACTCATAGAAACAAAGAAGGAACACAAAGATAATGGCAGGGGGAGAAGGAGAGATAAAGGTTAAAAAGTTACAGCTTTGGCAATGAGTAAATCAATTTTTTCTACATACAAGAAGAAATAGTCCAATAAAAAAGAACAATAAATAAATCTAAATCTCTCTCTCCCCCTCCTTTCCAGCAAAACTCCCTAAACAAATTTTAGTAGAAGACTGAGACCCAAATGGCAGCACAGTAGTTTCCCAAGTACTCTGGGCAGAATTTACAGAGGTAACTGGGCCAGCTACTCTTGTTAATATCAGACAGTCCAAGAAGGAAAGCTGCAGATATAAGTATGTAAGAAAGAAAGTTCACAAAATGAAGTGACATATGTTTTGTGTTTTGCCCCCCCACCCCCGTGCCCCCCCCCATGATTGCCCACATCAAGGAGTGGGATCAAGAAGAGACAAATGATAAAAACATTGTTGCTTTGTCATGTTGCAACCTCCTCCTCTTTTGTACCTGTATCATGACATAGCATACATGTATGAAAGTTTCAGATCCTGTGGATATCTCTACCACTAAATCCTGTCAATTAACCCACTTTGCTTACCTAGTCCTCTAAGAAAAATAGCTGGAGAGAAACAGTGGCTGAAAAAAGCAAGGCCTGCTAATATAAAGTGTACCTCCCAGCACAGGTTGGCTATAGCAGCTAAGTCATGCTGACTGCTGTCTTCTTGGCCACTAGGGAAAGAACTAGTGATGCTACAAAGTTGAACCAATACTTTCCTAGTGCAAAGGATTATCATTTACAAACTGCCATGAGTTTACTTGACTTGACAGTCTATAAATGTACTTATATCCTGACAAATAAATACATTTCCTGGAAAAAAATGGGTGGAGATTCCATATTCCCAAAATGATAACTTTTGACTCAGTTTGTGTGATTGTCTGCTGCATAACTACTTGTAAACAGGTTTAGCTGAGTTACTGGAGTTAATGTTGTGGGAATAAGGCCATCTATCAGTTGATATAGCAAAATAGAAAGTTAATGAACAATCATTATAAATTTATTTATTTTTATTTATTTATCAAATTTGTCACTGCCCACCTCTTTAAAAAGCGACTCTGGGCAGTTTACAGAAAAGATAAAGTCAATTAAAATACAATGTAAAAACAATCTTAAATGTGCAAATATCTATATGGGAACAAAATCTTGATTTCATATTTAAATTCAGTACAGCATTCCCTTGAGCTGTAGTGAAAATGACTACATCTTTATTGTTTCCCCATCTTTTTCTGCTTTAGGTGCTCCTACAACACAATTGACTGCACTGGAGTTAATTTAAATCTGTGCTGGATTGTTTGGGATTATATGTAACTCACTGCAGACTAATTGTCTGGGTCTCAACTGATCCCTCTCTGTAGTTCCCAGAACACATTAATCTCCATCTTGACGCAGTTAAGCATGTGACAATAGAACCTGTGGTTTTTAATTTTGAAATATATGGGGGCTAATTATTATCTCTTGCTTGGGCCCTTTAATAAAGCAAGATAGCTCTTCAGAGCCTAAAAGGAAAAAGGAGCATAAAAGGACACGGGGCTTTCCCCCAATAGGAATTGCCTTTTTTGATACTTGTTCCTTTATTCTGTAGTTTACCTTTCCATCTGTTGCAATATTATTTCAGTCTTCCCATCTTCACTGTTAGCAGTCTGTGAGAGAAGAGCAAGGAAACATTTATGTAAAAATACAACGAAAATTGAATGGTTCAGGGGGGTGGGAAAAATTTGAAGATGGCTACCATTTGGGCAAGAGCCTTCCATATTTAATAATACAAAGTTATAACTTTATTTATTTATTTTCACACTTTTTATAGCCTGTTCAGCTCAAAAGACTGAGAAGGTTATAGCAAATGAAGATTAATTGTAATTATTTTTATTTTTGTCTTCCTAGATTAAGTAGAGAGAAATAAAGCTGTATTCAGCAGTTGCAGATATTGATAAAGAATGAACATAAAGGATCCAAAAGTGACAGAAGGGGGCCTCAATGTCACTCTCACTATACGCCTTCTTATGCATGGAAAGGTAACTTGCTTCCCATAGAATATCTGAAGAGTGGGGAACATGGAAGATTATGTTTTAGAATGTAGGTTTGTTTCAAAGCATTAGAAATTCAGCATGATAGCCCCTATTAAGTAGGGTGGCAGACTAATCTTCATTTAGTTGTCAGGCTGATGCCCTTGCTTTTCCATATTTTATTCATGTTCATCATTGCTGTGCAACCTAGTGTGATTTGATGCTTTATTTCTGGACTGCATTCACTGCTTTGATCAATCTGCGGTCCTGGGAAAGTGAATTCTTGCATGCATTTGATCTCTTCACAGTCAATTGCTATTCTGACATTTCCATTCCTCACAGTGGTCATGAGCTTGGTCTATTTAATGTTCAAGAAGAGGCTAAATTTCTCACTTTCTTCTTTAATACTTTTGATCAGATGTTTCAGGCCTTCTTTGGTTTCTGAGAGGAGAGTTGTGTTGTCAGTATATCAAAAATTGTTGAAGTTCCTTCCTCCAATCTTTACTCTG